CTGCTGCTGAGGTCTGGGTCCTTGGTCCCTGTGCCCACGAGGTTGGCATGAGAGAGATGTCTGCCTGATGCATGGCCCCCGGAAAGATGTGTCCAAGGCCCTGGCAGGGCTCGGGGAGGTGGGTGTTCTCCAGAAGAGACTCGGCTGGGAACAAGGCTGTAGCTGGAAGGGATTGTGGAGCCCGGTGTCCCTGTGCCTGGCCACCTCTCCGCTGGCTGGGCGAGCTGGATGTGGTGACCTGCCGGGAAGAGGATGGGGTGGCCGTTGAAGTGCATAGAGTCACGGGGTCCCTTCACCCCTAGAAGCATGGCCTCTCACCCCGCTGCTGTGTAATGCTCACGGTGGGAAGGTGCCATTCTTGGGTGATAGGAGGGGGATAGGGATGTGTGTGCGTGTGTGTGCTTCCTGGTCCATCATCCAAGTGCGTGTGAGTGCCTACCATGGGCCAGGCAGCTGTGGACACTGAGGGTGTGACCAAGACGGAGGCCAGCAACGTCCCTGCCTCCCGGTCTCGCCCTCGGGTGGATGTGAGGACACTGACCTGGGCCTGTGACCTTCCGCCTGTCCATCTGCTGACTTGGTCGGTGACTGGAGAGCGGGGGTGGGACCTGCGGAGCCGAAGCAGCCGGGCACCCTCGAGGGGCACATGGGGGGCTGTCTCTGAGCGCCTGTCCTCCTCACAGGGTGACCGTGGTTTTGATGGCTTGGCTGGCTTGCCAGGGGAGAAGGGCCACCGGGTAAGTGGATCCCTGTGAAGTCCAGGGGGTGTGCACCAGAGAGGTTCCCAAGTGCCCCTCGGGCTTTTCGCAGCCCTCTGTGGGGTCGGGCTCCCTGGGCTGGGAGCCGTCACTCCAACCCTCTGGCAAGAGTTGGGGGTGTCAGTAACAGCTCCTCCCTCGACCCTCTGTGGATGAAGGGGCAGCCGGCTCTGCAGGGAAAGAGCCTGTCTTCTCACTCTGTGCAGGGCGCACGGGGGGCCGACCATGGATCGTACACTCGTGGCTTCTGTGCACACACTGGGCATTACACGAGTGTGCGGCGCCTGGTTTACACTGTGCATTAGGTACCAAACACACACCTGCGGCTCCTCCCTACCCATGCCTTCCTGGTCTGTGGACAGGCCTGCTGTGCTGTGACAGGTTGTGTTCTACCTGTGTGTGTGGGTGTGCACACAGGCCCCCACACTCATGCCCAGGTGTGTGCATGCACGTACTCGTGTAGGCCTGCAGTGTACACATGCTCACACACACTCAAACACACCTGTAGACACATATACACTCATATCCCCGCAGTGCACACATGCGCGCACACACTTACATGTGTGTGACACACTAAGGGGGCTGCACACACACATGCTCACACACATGGACACTTATGTACATGCCTGTGCCTGTGACTGCCAGGTTGATTTCTTGGTGACGACTCATACAGGGCTGGGGGTGGGGGGCCATCAGGGCTCGGTTGGTGAAGACAGGGTGTGTGGCAGGGTGGGCATGGCCCCACCGCTGGCAGGAATCTCTCCTAATGAGACTGTCTGATGGGAGAGGGGGTGACAGAGCCCCACCCTCATGGTGGCCCTCCTGGGGGGTGGAGTGCCACACAGAGAGGCAGCCTGAGGGACACTGTTTCGGTGTCCGGCCCGGGAACTCTGCAGCCCTGGGACACTTGGTGGGGAGCCCCGGCACACTGACGCTGACTTTGCTTTCCAGGGCGACCCAGGCCCCTCTGGCCCGCCAGGACCTCCGGGAGAGGACGGAGACAGGGTACGTATTTGCCGTGTCTCCTTGTACCGCCTGCCTGGCCCCTGTGCAGCCTGCGCAGGAACCTGGGAGATAGAACCCCGAGTGTGTGTGTGTGAGTGTGCGTGTGGGTGCATGAGGTGTGTAAGTGGGTCTGCCTGTGTGTGTATATATGTATGCATGGGTGTGCGTGTTGTATGTCTGATTGTGCATGTGTGAGTCCACATGTGAATGTCAGTACGCATGTGCCTGTGTGTACGCGCATGCATGTTTGTGAATGTGGGTGTGAGTGCGCGAGGTGGGCACTGGCAGGAAGAAGCTAAGTGTGACCACATGCCCTCACAGGATTCAGAGCTGGGGGGACTGGCCGGGCCATGTTGGACCCTGGCGGAGACTCCTGGCGTGGGACCTTGTGGTTCTCAGGGCCGGGCCCTTCGCCTGCAGCACCCCCACCTCAGTGGGACACGGGTGGTGGAAGGAGCCCAGCATGTCCTCCTCAGCTCTGGCCTCTTCTCTCCCCACAGGGCGATGATGGAGAAGTCGGGCCCCGAGGCCTGCCTGGGGAGCCCGTGAGTCTGGGCTGCGCGTGGGCACCGGTCTGGACAGGGTGTGGGGAGGAGACTGAGCCAGCTGGGGTCCCCTGGGAGGAAAAAGGGTTCACAGGAGGCAGGGCTCTCAGGAGTGGGTCCAGGCAGTGGGGGCTGTGGAAGCCTGGTCCCTCGAGAGGGCATGGGGTATTCTCCAGGCTGCCTCCCGGGGCTGCCAGGCTGTATCACAGGGCATGTACATTGCATCCTGGATGGGGTGTATGTGTGGGGGGATTCTGGCCACCCCTTGAGTGCTATCCCAGCTCCACCCTTCTGCAGGGTGCTCCAGACCCCATCCTGGGGCAGGGGTGGCAGGGAGGTCTGGGCGGATGCCCTGGCTCCATCAGTCAGGCTATGGTGACGGCCACACAGGCTATGGCACGGCCACACAGAGCCCCTCAGCTCTGACCCAAGCCCCCAAAGGGGCCAAAGGAAATGTCCTCAGCGACAGCAAGACACTGGCCAGCTGTCACCTGTCACCTGCTGCTACTGCTCTGGGGCCCCTTCTGTCCCCTCCATCCGTGTGGCCAGTGTGTCCATGTCCACCATGAGCTCTGGACTTGAGTCTGAGCTGTAGCTTCTGGCCCAGAAACCCCTAACACAGTTACTTGACAGCGCTAAAGTCATGAAGGCCACCCTTAGGTGGTGCCTCTCTTCCAGGGAGTCCCCCAAGCACAAATAAAACCAAACTCACTGCCATTGAGTCAGTGCCAGCTCACAGGGGCCCTTTGGATAGAGAGAACTGCTTCTGTGGGTTCCCACAGCTGTGCACCTCTCTGGAAGCAGCCAGCCTCATCTTTCTCCCTCAGAGTGGCTGCTGGGTTCAAACCGCTGACCTCTGGTTCAGACCCACTAGCAGTTCTGAGGGAGAGAGAGGAGGCTGCCGGCCACTGTTGGAACTGACGTGAATGCAGTGGGTTTGGGCTTTTGTTTGCTCTGTCCTTGAACGGGTCCCTGGTGGTGCAGGGTGTAAGTGTTGGGCTGTTCACAAAAAGGACGGCGGTTCAAACCCACCAGTCACTCTGCAGGAGAAAGACGAGGCTGTCTGCTTCCAGAAAGACGTACAAGCCTTGGGGACCCACAGGGTGTTCTGGTCGACCCTGTCGGGTGGCTTTGAGTCAGCGTCCACTCAGCACAGTGGGTGTTCTGGTCTCTCCTTGAGGACACCCCATCTCCCCATGTCTGCACCCCGCAGTTCCAGGCATCCCTTGCCTTCTGGGTCCCAGGGCAGGGGTGTGCAGGAAGAGTAGTGTCAGGAGAGGAGCAGGGCTGGGTGGGGGCCTTGAGGAGTGGGGCTGAGGGCCGAGGGTGGCTGGGGAGCAGACTGGTGGGCTGTCCCTCTGATTCGACCTGTCTTCTCTCGCTCGCACAGGGCCCTCGAGGTCTGCTCGGGCCAAAGGGACCCCCAGGCCCTCCTGGACCTCCGGTAAGTCCTGTTGCACGTCTCTGCCCTGGGCAGCCGTGGAGCTAGTGGCCCATTAGGGCCTTTGGGCTCCTCCTCGGAGCTGCCCTCTGGCATGCCTGCCCGTAGGCACTGACTAGGACAAGGCTCTGAGCTCTGCAGGAGCTGGACACGTCCATCTGTCCCCTGTCACTCCGTTCCCTCCTGCTGTCTTGAGGGACTCCAGCAGAAGGCTGAGGTCCCAGGTTCCAGATTCACTGGGGCAGAGCCAGCCCCCAAACCCTGACTCTGCCCAGCCCCAGTCTCCTCTCACTACACAGAAGGTCTGCTGGGGAGGCACAAGATCCCCAGAGCTGGCAGTCGGGGATGGGGGGATGTTGGGGTCCACCCTCGGGCATGCTTTAAGGTTGGGGGTCTGAGCCAGGGGGCTTCCTCCTGGGCCTGGGGTCTCTTCTGCATCCTGTCTTTCGTCCTGCCTCCAGGGTGTGACGGGCATGGATGGCCAGACTGGCCCGAAGGGAAATGTGGTGAGTGGGGTCCCGGGCATGGCCTCCCGGCAGGTGATCCTGGGGCTCTTAGAAGGTGGGGGGTGGGGTGGGTGCTGCTCTCAGAATGAGGAGTGGGTGAAGGGGGCTGGGCTTGTGGCTCTCAGAGCATGGCGGGAATCCCATGAAAGGGGTACAGGCCCCAGAACCCTCAAGCTGAGTGTCTGTGACCAGCTCCTAGGCAGCCAGTGCACATGTGTGTATGTGTGTATAGGGGGGGGGCAGTGACCCCCCTGCCCCGGGGCCTGGTGAGCTGTGTCGGAGAAGGCTATAGGTGCTGTGTTGAACAGCCAGGAAGGGACTCCACTTATCAAAAGCCGGCTGCTGATCCTAAGGCTGGCGGGGGTGGGGGCCACCCCGAGGTGCCTCGTGGGGAGCCAGGCTGGCAGTGGTTCCCTGGAGTACACCCTGGGCCCCTGGTGCTCGCGTGCCAGGAGGGCTCAGGCTGTGGTCAGCTCCGCTGGGGGATTTCCTGCCCAGTGAGAGACTCTGACAGTTTCCCGGCCATGTCGGCATAACTGAGCCAGTGCCGCTGAATTGGGGTTCATGTTGGTGCCCGGGGTCTGGGGGTCTTGGGTCCTGTGTGGGCTGTTCAGTGGGGTCAGGGTCAGAGCTTGGAGGCCTGAGGTCTTGGGGAGGGAGGCCTCGGGTGTGGGACTGCCTGCATGGTCCTGTGGGGTGGGGGTGGGGACGAGACCCCCAGGGAAGGGCTGGCTCTGGGCAGAGCCCCCTGCAGCACCCTTCCTCCTATTTCCACAGGGCCCCCAGGGAGAACCTGGTCCCCCGGGCCAGCAGGGTAATCCAGGTGCCCAGGTAAGTGAGCCTTTAGGGAGCTGGTGGGTCAGGGACAGAGGGAGCTGTGCCCAGGGCCCAGGGGCCCAGAGGCAGCAGGAGGTGGCTGGGTTTGAGGGTGGACGGGGCCCCAGAGGGCAGTCTGTGTCCTCTGAGCCTGACCTCTCTGTTCTGGTCTCTCCTTGCAGGGTCTTCCTGGCCCCCAGGGTGCCATCGGGCCTCCAGGAGACAAGGTAGGGGTCCAAGGGGACCAGGGTGGAGGTCCAGGGGGTCGGGCCAGGGGTGGCACGTGGGGCCTGGGCCTGGGTCCCCGAGGCTGAGCAGTGAGCAGTGGGGAAGGACCTTGTTCTTTCCTTCTGCCTCCAGATGTGCCGGGCGCGGCTCAAACGCACGGAGAAATGTGTCCACCGTTAGCTGTGCTTTGTTTACCTGGAATGGTCATTGAGCAGGACGCTGTGTGTGCCTTCTGTGTGTGTTTGTGTGTGCTGTCTCTGTATGTATGTATGTGTGTGTGTCTGTGTGTGTTTGTGTGTGCTGTCTCTCTGTATATCTGTGTGTCTCTGTGTGTGTTCCGTCACTGTGTGTCTGTGTGTGTGTGCATGTGTGTGTCTGTGTGTGTCTGCGTGTGTGTTCTGTGTCTGTGTGTATGTGCATGTGTGTGTCTGTGTGTGTCTGCGTGTGTTCTGTTTCTGTGGTGTCTCTGTGTGTTTGTGTGTGCTGTCTCTGTATGTATGTGTGCGTGTCTGAGTCTGGCAGCACCTAGGCCATGTCCTGGGAGGGGGGCCGGGGGCTCGGTGGTGGCTCCTTGCTGGAGCTGTGTTCCAGCCTCAGACACCTAGTGTCTGCTCCCCCCCACCCCCCTTGCTGCTCAGCCTGTCACAACCCTGGGGGGCTTGTCAAGCTCAAATTGGACCCCCCAGGTTTCTGACTGGGCAGGTGAAGGTGGCCTGGAATATACATTTCTAACGAGCTCCCTGGATACACTGTCCACTGGTCTGTGGGGACCACACTTTGAGAGCCGTGGCCTGTCCACTCATGTGTGTGGGTCTCATGGCTGAGAGACCCAGGAGGCTGGGCACCCTGTGGCGGCATAGACCAGCCCCACAGCTGGAAGGTGTGCAGGGGAGGGGCCCCACAGAGGGTGAGACCCCTCCTGGATGCTGGCAGCCTTGCCACAGGGAACAGGGTACCCCTCCCTGAGGCATCCCGTGTCTTTGGGGCTGGGCAGAGAGGGTGACAGCCCCCAGCCAGGGACCCCAGGTATGTCCTGATAGGTCTCTGCTTTGTCCTAGGGTCCCTTGGGGAAGCCAGGACTCCCAGGGATGCCCGGAGCTGACGGACCCCCGGTGAGTACCCCTGCCACCTCGCCCAGGCTGTCCCCTTCCTGTCCCAGTGCAGGGCTGGTGCCACTGGTCACCCTCCTCCGGGCTGATGGCAGACTGCTGTCCCAGGGAAAGGGAGATCCCCATCACTCAGGGGTGCTCGGGCTTGGGCTACATGTTCCTAGCGGGCCTGGGAGTCATGGTTTTTGCATGGCCTTCCATGGCCAGAGCTCACCCTGGGTCCGTCCCCAAAGGGGCCCTGGCTCACCCCCAGACTGGGCTGTGCCGTGTTTGCAGGGCGGGGTGGGGTAGGGGCGCAGGTATTTTGGGGGATCCGTGCACCAGAGTGGGAGGTGATGACAAATGCTCTCGGGATGTGTGAGTGCGCGTGCCTGCGCTTGGGGCCAAATTAGCCACCGCCTGGAAATATCGGGATCCAGCTGGTGGTGACAGGGTGGCGGGGTGGGTGGGTGGGTGGGGGCGCAGGGAGGTGTGACTAGTGGGCCCCCCCACCTCCTCCGTGAACAGCTGCCAGGGCGCTGGGTGATTCTTTTTTTAGCATATTCAGTATGTGTTGAATAGAGACCCAATTTCAGGAAACAAGAGGAGAGAGTTATTTAAGACACAGTGCGTGTGGCCATTTTAATCTTTCCACAAGAACAATCCAGCGGGGACGTGGACCAAGCTCTCTACTGCCCGGTGCCTGGCACGCATCTGTCTCCACGAGCCTCGCCACCCCTCCACACAGTTTCTCCACTGGCTGGGGGCCGGGGCTGTGCCCTGGGGACCCCTCACTGTGCCCAGGGTGCTCTGGGTGCCTCATTATGGTCCTGAGATGGGCCCCCTGTGGCCCTTCACTTAGCTCAGATTCACAGCTGATTCACAGATTCACGAGTTCCCATGGCACTGCCACATAGTGGGTCACGGAAATTAGCTCAGCCAGCAACAACCCAACGCAAACCACCCCATCGCATCCTCGGGGGTCGGCCGCTGGGAGTGCAGGCTGAGCAAGCCCCTTCTAGATGGTTCTCTGTGGATTCCGTAGCCCCGAGGGAGCCTGGGCCTGCAGGGAGGAGGCCCCTTCCCAGTGAGACCCCCAAGTGAATCGGGACTTCTGATAAACTACCCGCCTCCCTTCCCATCTGTGAAGACAGAGGCAGCCCTCAGTCCTCGGGACGGGTTGGGCCCCTGACTAGACTCTGAGCCGTAAGTTCCCAAACTTCTCAGGCCCACCACCCCTTTTTAGAAAAAGCACATGCCTCCCTGCCTCCTGGCAGTGAGAACCTGGATGAAGTGTGGGTATCTGATTTTGTGCGCGCGCACACACGTCCGGGATCTTTCCAGCACGCCCCTGGGAAAGACCAGTCTTGGAGAAGGGCTAGTTAATCGTTGGGGAGATACTCGTCCGCGGCCCTCTTCCCCGGCATTTAAAGGAAAGGGACCTGGGATCCTGGGGCACCGGGGAGTGTGTATCTGCCGGCCCGGCACGACACTGTGGCTACGTGCCAGCGCGTCAGGGCGCACCGGGAGCTGAGTGCACCAAAGCAAACACCGGTGCCTGCGTCAGCCTCACAGGGGTTGTGCAGCCTGGACCGGTTGCTACGGCCACGGCGTCAGTGTGTTTGCCGGAGGTTTGGGCCCCACGGACTGTTCCCGAGGAAACTGAGGAAATTGCGAGTCAAGGACTGGCCAGGGGCCTGAGAGCCCATCACAGGATAGGCTTCCTCCCTGAGGGGGTGCAGAGGGAGGGCGCACAGCAGTGAGGTCGCAGCTCAGCCTCGGGCCGGGAGGAGCGGGAGGGCAGGATCCCCTTTGCCCGTGGTCTAGGGAGCTCTCTTAGATTTTGTAATCAGAAAAAAGTCAGATACTGGCACTTGAAGCTTTATAATGTTTCCATTGTGCTCGTTACGGAATATGGACTAAATGCACACAGGTAGGGAAGAAAGGGGAAATGGTCCAAGTTCTTATTGTGAAACACACAATCTTGTTTCTCATTCCGCTGTCCATCTCTGCCACCTGCCGCCCCCCACCCTCGTTCAAGGATTTTCAATAAGAGGACTTCGCCTCTGTTTCCCTTTCCGCCTCAGCTGACTTGCGTTGATACATTCCATGTAAATTTTATCTAAGGAAACGCAGGGCAGACCGGTGCAGGGGCTCGGCCGTGCGTTAGTCCCAGGCGCTGGGGCGCTGGTGGGCGGAGGGTGGCCTCCCTGCCAGCCCAGGATCAGTGAGCATTACAGACACTGACAAGTCAGGGCATCGTGAAACTGGCTTTAACCTGCTGAGCAGCTCTGGGATCGTGGCTGGTGGCCCGCTGGGTAAAGTGTTGGTCTGCCAACCGGACCGTCAGCGGTTCAAACCCTCCAGCTGCTTCACAGGAGAAAGATGAGGCTCTCTGCCCCTGTAGAGCTGGAAAGCCTCAGAAACCACCCGAGCGAGTTCTACTCTGCCTGCAGGGTCCCTGCGAGAGGAGGGAGGGGCTCCACATCAGGGGTCCAGTTTGCCCTGACCAAGAAGGCCTGGGAGCGAGGGGGGGCGGGGCGGCACTGTCCCCAGCATCATCATAGGCACCCCTTTGTCCCGGGAACACTGGGGCGGCCAGTCAGGGGTCCTTGGAGCTGTTCAGCCCGACAGTCCTTGCGGCCAGTGCTGTGATCAGGGACACTTCCCTTCCTAAGGAGGCTGTGGGCTGGCCCACAGGGACATGACCAGGTCCTCGGGGCCTCAGCTTGTCCTGGGCACGGTCCCTGGACTGCCTAGCGCCTCTCAGCCTGCAAGGCACCCGGGGGTGGCACCCCCACAGAGAACCGGGAGCATCAGGGCTTCCCACGAGTGACAGTGTCCGGCCTCCACCTGGCCCCATCTCTGTGTGTCCCCAGCGACCCTGGCCCCACATTCCTGCTGCCGAGAGCTGGAGAGCCCTGGGGCCCGGTGCGCAGAACAGGGCCCTCACTCTGGGTCCTGCGTGGCCACCTGGCGCTGAGTCCGGCGGGCCACGGTGTGCAGGAGGTGGACTGTGACCCTCCTCAATTGGGGGCCGCCTGGCAACGCCAGGCCTTGCCCGTGCTCTCTGGTTTCTTGGCCCCTCCCCTCTGTCACCCTTGCTGTCACCTCTGTGCCCGGCTGTGGCACTGCCTTGGAGGCCGCTGCGGCTCCAGGGGCTGTATAGGCAACACTGGGCCCCCTGCTGTTCGGCACTGAGTGGACCCGGCCACCCTCTTCAGGCCCAGGGCTCCCAGGGAGGGAGATGAGAGGGGGGCTTGGCCATCCCCACCCAGTGCTGAAGAGGCTGAGCGTGTAGAGATGGCTGTGGACTAAGGGAAGCTTCTCTCGTGACAGGGGCACCCTGGTAAAGAAGGCCCCCCAGGAGAGAAAGGAGGACAGGTGAGTACTGGCTTCAAGTCTGCGCCCCTCCAGGGAGCCCCCGAGAGTGGGCTCTTGCCCCACTCTTCCTCAGCACTGCTGTCATTCCCTTTCTCCGGAGCTCCTCCCCCCACCCCTGCCCCAGCCCCATCTGTGGACCTGCCCTGGGGCTCTGGTCACACAGGTCACAAGGGCCATCAGCAGCCTGCAGTGCCCGGCCCCCAATCCTGGCCTTGGTGGCCTTGCCTTCCTGGGTGGGGGTGGAGTGGGCAGGGGTAGGTGGATACTGACCCAGGGCATGCACGGGGGGCAAGGGGCTGGGCAGTCCCTCTGCCAGAACCTTTGGGATATCCTTACTGGCGGCCAGGGGGCACGTGCAGGTGGGAGGTCCAAGCCAGCCGTTTGGCTGCCCACTCGAGATGGAGCTAAAAGCCTTTCCCCTCTGGTTTTAGGGTCCATCTGGCCCCCAGGGTCCCATTGGCTATCCAGGCCCTCGAGGAGTCAAGGTGAGAATCTTGGGAGGCCAGGTCTATCTGGGGGTAACAGTGGATGTATGGGGCCGGGCTTGACAGTCGCTTGTTCAACCTCCCTCGGGCTCACAAGGGGCGGGGCTTGTCAGTTCCCTGGTTCAGCTTCCCTCTGGCTGACACAGGGGCAGGGTTTGGCACGTCTCTTGTTCAATCTCCCTCTGGCTCACACCAGGGCAGCCCTGACCTCCTTGTTGCATAAGTGTGGTGATTGGGCCCCAGGACAGAGGGACGGAGCTGTGGTCTCAGGAAGGGCTGGTCTGGTGCAGTGTGGCACCCCTAGTCTCCCGCCTTTTCCCTGTTAACTGGGTCGGCTCTTAGCTGTGACCCCAAGCCCCTGGGGGAAGAGGGTGTATTTTCTTATGGGTCAGGGGCCAAAGCGTGAACTTGGGCTGCTCGCTGAAGGAGAAGGCTCTCTGTGGGCCCTGCAGATGGTTCTAGTCATCTCGGCCTCGGCATCTGAGGGAGACTCTCTGTGGGCTCTGCGGAAAGCTCTGGCGTGGGCTCCACGGTCCAATGCCCCTTGTCCCTTGTCCCTCCACCATCCTCACATGATTCTGTCTTTCCCAGTGGGCGCTGTCCTCAGCAGAGATGAGGTTTAGGACACCCCCCCCCCACCCCCCGACACACACACATTGACGTGTCCTCTTTACCATCACCACACCCACAGTCCAGGGGTCTGGACTCCAGTGTGGGCCGGATACTGCTCAAACCTAGCAGTCTGGCTTGCCTGAATACTTAGTGCAAGCTCTCGCCCTCCCGGAGCTGGGTGGAGGAGGGGAGCGGGGACCCTTGCCTGTCCTTCTGGGCCATTTCCACCCTCACTGATGAGGGGTCGCTCTGTGGGGGAGGTGGTGCGAGGCATCCTCTCCCTCCCGCTCTTGTTTCTGCGGAATTAAAGGCTCTGGGAACCTTGTTACATGGCCCGGGTCTCAGAGCAATATCCAGATACAGCCCAGCTGTCATATCCCCGATAACCCTGTTTGCCTCGGCTGTGTGATTCAATCTCCAGGTGCCCCTTGGGTCCACCTGTGCACATTGCTATGCAGAGGGCCGTGGCCCAGCAAATGAGCCCTGGTGGCTCAGTGTCTTCACGTTGGGCTGCTCATTGTGGTCGGCCGTTTGAAACCACCAGCAGCTGCTTGTGAGAAAGAAGAGGTTTTCCGTTTCTGGAAAGAGCCACAGACTCAGAAACCCACAGAGGCAGCTCTGCCCCGCTCTACGGGGTCCCCCAGCAGGGGAGCCCTGCCGGTGCAGTGGTTGAAGCACACCACGGCTAACTGAAGAACTGCAAGTTCAAACCCACCAGCATCTTCATGGAAACAGAGAGGAGGCTGCCTCTCTCGTACACATTTACAGCCCCAGGAACCTTTACAATGGTCTGAATCTGTCCCGTGGGGACACTCGGAGTTGAAGTTTACCCAACAGCAGTGGATGGGGTTACCCTGGGGGACTTGTGTGGTGGGGGGGAGCTGCCTGCTTCTCTGGGAACTGGATGCAGCTGAATCAGAGAGTGCCAGACATCCCTGTCCTGGCCCAGAAACACAAGCGATGTGTCTGGCTCCCTAGTGACTGTAGTGTGACTTTTTGGGGAAATGGGGGTTTCTTTCTATTGAGTGATTTGGATGCAAACTGCCCCTGACGCACGTGGTCCCTGGAGGGGCCGTGGAGCCCTGAGGTTTGTGGGAGCCACCCAGCATCACACCAGGCAGAACCCCACCTGCAGCCTGGGGGTCAAGGTGCCCCAAGTGGGGAGAGACGCCAGGGGATGGGGAACCCGGGGCAAGGCGACCTTCTGCCTGCCGCCCCTCCCCACCACCCGGTGCCTTTGCTGATGGTGGAGGCTCTGTGCGTGGTTTTGCACAAAGTCCCGCCACGTAGTCAAGGCCCCGCCAGCAACCATACAAGGCTAATTGCACAAAGCTGCTTCGTGGGTCTGGAGAAGGTGTTTGCTCAAGACAGACGTGAGGAATGCTCAGATCTCGACTGTCAGTTAGAATTCGATCACGGCGTGCGTGAGCCTTCCAGTCAGACTTGAGGCCGAGGGTGGAGGGGGCCAGGATGGGGAGTTGTTTTCATCCGAGAAATAGATCCCCAGGCTCTCAGGCACTTGAAAATGTAGGTGCTCCCACCTCCCAGGGAGCCGTGGGCCCGGGTGGAGGTGGTGGTGAGTGTGGGGGCACCGCTACCATCTTCCACCGAGGCCCTGCCTGCTCCCGGAGAAGGGACCCCTTGCTCCTCGCTGAGCTTTAAGCTGCCTCCGTGTCTCTAGGAGCCATGGGGCTAGGGATGGGGAGTGGGGGGTGGGTTTAGGCACTGGGCTGCCAACCAGAAGGCGAGCCGTTCAAACCCACCAGCTGCTCTTTGGAAGGACGAGGAGGCTGCTTCTGAACAGGGTTCGCCGTCTCCAGGACCCACGGCGGCAGTTCTGCTCTGTCCTGGAGGGTCGCTGTGAATGACACCAGCAGGCGAATGCCCCAGGCACCCAGCACTTCCACCCTGACTCCGTGGGGAGTCTGCTGGGCTGGGTCCCCAGCCTTGTCTATGGACACTCTCAGGACATGCGCCCTTGTCCTTGCTGTGTGCTCAGCTGGAAGGCGGCCTTGGAAGGAGGCCCTAGCCTGGGTTCTTTGCTCAGACGACCCACATGGCACAGTGTGGCTCCTGGGTCTGACTCTAGTCCTGTGGAGACTGGGGCCCATGCAGGAGTCTGGGTGTGGGTGGTGGGCGGTGGGATGCAGGGGGCTGGACCTGCCTCAGAGAGGGCTAGGTGCGGGAAGCAGGCCCCAGGCGTCTGGGCTGCCCTGGTTCTCCCAGGAGCGCATGGTTAGTAATGCCGCTCCCCTGTCCTGTGTCC